AGTCGTGGCCGACTCTTGGACACTTTATAGGCTAGCTCTTTTCATTTTTCCAGTTTAGTGCAACTTCTTTCAGCTCTTTCATGCTCATTCCAGTATGTAGCTTGATAGTATCAATCCAACGCATTCTTTGTCGGCCTCTTCTTCTTGTTCCTCTTACCATTCCGAGTATTATTTCTTTTTCTAACGACCTTGACCGCGTTATAAGACCGAAGTATGCCAGCCTTAGCCTGGTTATTTTGGCTTCAAACGCTGTTTCCGGCTTGATACGACCCAGAACCTCTTTGTTTGTGATCTTTGCAGACCAAGGTATGCACAACAGCCTTCTCCAACACCACAACTCAAAGGCGTCGATTTTTCTTCCATCTGCTTTTTCCAGTATCCAGCTTTCGCATCCATATATTCTTATAGAAAATATGGTGGCACTGACCATTCTGCATTTGGTTGTCGAGCTGATGTCTTTTCTTTTCCAGATTTTATCCATATTTGTCATTGCACTACGATCAAGTGGGATTCTTCTTTTAATTTTGGGAGCAAATTCTCCATTGCGATCGATCTTGGATCCGAAGAAAATGAAATCTTAGACTGTTTTAATTTCTTCGTTCTTGATTTTTACTTTATCTTTGTCGTTCCTAGCCGTTGTCATAATTTTCGTTTTCTTGATGTTGAGCAGCTAGCCACCTTTTTCAATTTCTTTCATAACTTTTAACATTAGCTGTTTTATGTTCTCCTCATTTTGCGCGAGCAGAGTAGTATCGTCCGCGTATCTTAAGTTGTTGATGTTTCTGCTTCCAATTTTCACTCCGATTTCCGACTCGTCCAAATTCAGTTTCCTCAAAACTACTTCCGCGTACAAATTGGAAAGAAATGGAGGTAGAATGCAGCTCTGTTGCACATCTTTTCCGACGTTGAACCATTCTGTGTCTCCGTATGTTGTTCTGACAGTTGCTTCTTAATTGTCGTACAGAGATTTTATTAACTGAACCAAGTGTGCTGGCACACCCATTTATTTTAGGAATTTCCACATTTTGTTATGTTCAACACAATCAAACGCTTTGCTGTGCTCAGTGAAGCACGTGTATACATCTTTTTGAAACTCTCTAGCTTTTGCCATGATCCGACCAACGTTTTATATGTGATCACGAGTGCCCCTTCCCTTTCCAAAACCGACTTATACATCAGGTAACTCTGTTTCCATAACTCTGCCTAGTCGCTGTTGTGTGATTTTTAACAAAATCTTGCTCGCATGTGATATCAGAGCTATTGTGCGATAGTTGGAACATTCTCGGGCATCGCTCTTTCTTCGGGATTGGAATAAACACCGACCTTTTCCAGTCTCTTGGCCATTCGCTGGTTCTCCAGATTTTTTTCGAAAGCTTTGTTATTACTGCAACTGGTAACGATTTTAGCAGTTCTGTAGGTATTCCATCACCTCCCGGAGCTTTTCTTTTTGGTAGTTGTTTTAATGCCCATATTAGTTCTTCTTCGAATAGATCGGCCTCCATTTCCATTTGCTCCTCCTCTTCAAGTTGTTGTTGTTGTTCATTTCTGTTTACATATAACTGTTCCATGTATTCCTGCCATCTTTTCTTCATTTTATTTTGTTCGTGCAGTTCTTTCCTGTCACGACCCTTTATTGTTCCTTTACGAGCCGTAAATGGCGTCCGAATCTTCTTTATCTGAGCAAACAGGTCTCTTGTGTGTCCTTTTTTGTTGTTTTCGTCCATTTCGTCGCAACGTTCATTCCAATATTTCTCTTTGTCTTTTCTAGCTTCACGTTGAAATTCTGCATTTAATCTTCTTGCTTCGTCTCTGTCTCCAGCAGCTTTAGCTTTTCGTTTCTTTTCCGTAATGTTAATTGTTTCTTCTGGCAACCATTTGCTTGTTTTTGTTGGTTTTTTATAAGGAATGTGTTGCTCTGCTGCTCCGATCATTGTGTTTTTTATTTCATTCCATAGCTCACCTGGTTGTCGCTCTGTTACGTTGAGTGAGTCGAATCTGTTCTTTAGTTCGATTGTGTACAGATGCGAAATTTTCTCGGTATCAAATTTTCGAGATGCAGCGCTCTTTTTGATGATGCAAAGTTTCAGTTTGATTTTGGTTACGAGCAGTTGGTGGCCAGAGCCGCAATCTGCACCTGGTAATGTTTTTACTGAATTTACAGAGCTTTTCCAGCGTTTTTTGCATAGTATGTAGTCAATCTGATTACGTTGCAATCGATTCGGTGATGTCCAGGTGTACAGACGCCGTTTGTGTTGAATGAACCACATGTTTGTAATTCTCAGATGATTTCACTGACAAAACTGTACCAAAAGGGTCTCCATCATCGTTTCTTTCTCCTAATCCATATTTTCCAACGATTTCTGCTTCTTCTTTATCTCCTACTTTGCGTTAAAATCTCCAATAACGTATACAATGTCTTTTTTTGGTGTTTGTTTCAGTGCTTCTTGGGCGTCGGCATAAAATTGTTTGATTTCTTCTTCTTTTGCGTCAGTTGCCGGTGCGTAAACTTCCAGAATTGTAATGTTTAGAGGTTTATTATTGATTCGGATGGTCCTCATCCTGTCGTTTATTGTTCTGAAACTTTCAACTGATCGAGCGATTTTCTTGTTTGTTATAAAAGCCACGCCATTTCTCCTTATGTTTTCGTTCCCTGAGTAATATACGGTGTAATCATCTGACTGAAAATAACCGTTTCCGGTTCGATTTATTTCACTGAGACCAAGGATGCCGATCTTAATTCTAGTCATTCCCTTCTTGATGATGTCCAGCTTGCCTCGGCTCATGCTCCTGACGTTCCAGGTTCTGTTCTTATACATTTTCGTACAGCGAAAACTGTTCCTTTCGTCGTAGGCTGCATCAGCATTCAGGCTTCTCCGAAGGTTTTCATCAGTTGCGTCATCAATGCCTGGACTACTTGAAATGCGTCGTTGCCCTTCCGCGGTAGTATTTCTGATACCTTCCAGCCTGGAGGTTCAACTTTCTGGTACCGTGTTTGGTAATTTCACGAGCCTTTCCATTAAGTCTTTTGGTGTAGAGTTCTGGGGCAGGTCATCAGGTCTTTCCCCAGCCCTCCCCATTTATTCATGCTTGCTCTTTCAAGTAAAAAAATCCACTATTTCCCCTACATTTTGCATCCATTCAGAGCCATTCTCAACCATTCGTATCCCTTTCGAACCATTCGTAGCCATTCTCATCCAATAGGATATACTCAGTGTTTGTCTGATGCTAGCTCAAGGCTCAAAGTTCAAAGGCCAAAGTGCAAAGATCACCCGCAAGGAAGCAAAATGAAATTATTTGGAGATTATAAGCCATCCGCAGCCATTCCCATCCATTTGCTTCCATTCCAGGACATTTCCGACCAATAGGAGCCATTCTCTCGCGTTTTGAGATATTCTCAGCCGTTCCGGACCGTTCTTCGCGGTTCTCAACCATTGTTGATCATTATCAGACATTGCCAGCCATTCGAATGGTCCCGAATGACTTTTTCTTTCTTGCATATCCGTCTATGATGAATCTGCCAGAAAGTTTTGTACAGTCACAAAATCAGGCCAATTGCCCTCAGTCGTTGCCGCTGTTAAAGGTTCGTCCATTAATTCGTCTCTTTCCTTTTTTCTCACTTTTACAGCAATGAAATTCATATATATTCGGAAGAAAAGGAGTTGTTTGCTAAACTTATCATTACATATGCCAACAAGCAGATAAGGGTGAGCGTTGGGGGGAAAGATAAGCAATATATCACAAAAAATAACAGATTGAAATCATCACACGACGATCGTTTGAGGGTAAGGGTGTGAGTCGAAGAAACGATGACGCGTTGGCCTTCCTAAAGAGCCTCATCAGATGGTTGGGTGTGGGTGTGGGTGTCGGTGTGGGTCTGGCTGCGGATGAGGGTGCGGGTGTGGGTGTGGAGGTGTGGATGTGGGTGTGGATGTGGAGGTGTTGGTGTCGGTGTGGGGGAAATAGTGGATTTTTTTACTTGAAAGAGCAAGCATGAATAAATGGGGAGGGCTGGGGAAAGACCTGATGACCTGCCCCAGA